TAAAAGTCAAATGACTAACACACAACTGTAAAAAGATCGTCGCAACAACTGCTGATAAGTTTATCTGATAAACAGTCTTATTCCTTATCTGCTAATAGCACTGAAGTTAACTTCATGCATCTATGATTTTAAAAATGATCAGCACCAATTCTTTTTTTGTCATGAATTGCAAATAAGAACCTTCCAAAAGTGAAAACAAATGGATCTCTTTATACCCCTAAATGGATTGATTCTCAATAAAAGAAACACTAATTATATCTTTTCTTGTTGACATGAAATCAAGGAATTCTATACAAGTGAGATTGATTACAGGATTTCATCATTGAGCTGACATTAGTTAGAGAACCAATGGAAAACCTGGGAGTACTGGACAGCTGTTTCTTCCTAGTTCGGGACTCTTCATCAGTACCACTGGGATTCGAACCCAGGACCTTCTGGTTACAAGGCGGGCTCGTATACCATTAAGCCACTGGGCCCCGATCCAATGGCCAATGAATTCATGATGAAATCCTGAAACCAATCAATCAAATCCCTACAAACCAAGACTTGAATATCAATGAGATGCTCACTAGCGACTTGCCCTATTCAGACAGGTAGTTACCTGGGGTTCTAGTGAGAAGTCGTGACCAGTAGGGTGCAGCAGGTCGGGTGTGAGGACAAATACTCACCGAAGACATTGGCTAGGGGTCGCGCTATGTCGTGAATTGGCAGAAGTTAGAATTCATGGACCATTGGATCGGGTCCCAGTGGCTTAATGGTATACGAGCTCGCCTTGTAACCAGAAGATCCTGGATTCGAATCCCGGTGGGTGCGTATTGCTGAAGAGTCCCAAACTAAGACGAAACAGCTGTCCAGTACTCCCAGGTTTTCCATTGGTTCTCTAACTAATGTCAGCTCAATGATGAAAATCCTGTAACCAATCAACCAAATCCCTACAAACCAACACTTGAATACAAGTTAGATTATTTACATGGAGTTCACGACTGTCTACACAGTAAACACTTATGAGCATTGGTTTACCATTACAGCCATTTACCAAAAGACAGTAAAGAAATATATAAGCAGCCCTGGCAATACTGAAAACCCGCTTGCTCGAAGATTGTCAGAACAAACTAGTCACTTTTTCTAACAAAACTACAACGAAAAGAACTCATCATACTTCTTATGAAATGTCATATTAATTCCTGACATTCTTTTCTCTCAGTAAGACATTATAGAAAATGAGATAAAATTCATCATGGGTAAAATTTATTTTGATAAAGTCTCACAGTGTTATACAGTAATATTTATTGATAACCAGGTTTCGAGCACAATTCATTGCCTCTCATAATCATATCAAGGTATTCACACAACTTTCCAACTCCGTTTATATAATTCGATTATTTTTCATCGCCTGACTTGAACGGCAGTAGTATTTCCCATATTTCAGGTATGAGTGGTGAGTCATTCCTATTGTATGTGTTTGGTGTAGACTCGACGAACCAGGCAGGATTCAGGAATCCACCTCTCTCTCCACCTACCTAGATTACTTCTTGGAATTTTAACCCTCTCCCACCCACCCTATTGTGTGGTTGTGTGTTAATGCATGAAATGCAATTTATGAGCTTTGTTCTAAATTACTTATCTTCGCGGGGTCGATCATTCTAACCTAAATTATCATGATCTAACAATCTCACTACTCCTGACCTACTAGTTTGACCTATGTAGTTGACCTCACAGTCATTGCAGGGTATTTTGTAAATTATATTATTTAGTTTAATTGGGTCAACCAACAGGGTCCTTTAACCTACAGAGCTTGTCCCTGATTGAGTTTGTAGGTTTAAATGCCACGTTAATTCCTGCTTAAGAATCCTATGTAGGGCGTCAGATGTCCCCTCCTTATATGGTATAACAGTAGGTGCCTTACATTCTCTCTTATTTATGTTATCATTATTAGTTTCTCCATTATTTTTGATTTTGCTTTGGCCTTTTCTTATCTTCCTAATGAATTTTGTAGGATAATTATTTGATACCAATGCTTCTTCTATCTGTTTCATTTCATCATTTAGGTCTTTCCTTGTACTACTTAGTGCTACTGCTCGGTGTGTTAGACACTTGACTAAGCCTGCCTTAACAGTTAACGGATGAGATGAATTAAAGTCTAAATATATGTTAGAATGCTTTGGTTTTTTATAAAAACTAGAGTGTAGTTTACATTCTTCTATTCGTTTTATTTTACAATCTAACATAGCTAATTCTCCTTGCTCATTTTCGGCTTCAAATGTGAATTTTATTCTCTCTACTAGTGTTTTTGTATGTCTCAAGAAGCTAGAGAAATGTGCTGTCTTTAATACTGTGAAGGTGTCATCTACATATCTTCAGCATATTTTTGGAGTAGGATTAAATGAGGGACCAATTAAACGAAGTTGGAAAGTCGTATGAGCAAATTGATATGATTATGAGCAGTAATAAATTGTGCTCGAAACGTTATCATCAGTAAATGTATCATTGCATAACGCTGTGAGATAGAATAACATTACAGTGGACACATATTGTTGTGAAAGAGAATGATCCAGTCACGATTAGTAAGAATAAGTTAGATTCTGAAGACGATTACGGTTCATTGCATTTATGAAAATAAAAAAAGATTTCAAGTTGAATTATTAATAATCCGAAACCACAGACAAGTAGCTTTTGACTCCTTACATGATTTCCACCAACAGCCTATGAATATATCTCATTATATGAAGCGACAATACGAATAGTCCAATCAGCATTGTCCCTCTGATATCCATGTCGCTTAATTTACTGAAACTACTAACACTTTTTTATGTGCTACTGCCTTTGGCTACAACACTAAGAAGGAAATGCGTTGCTTCAAAATCTCCAGTAGCTATATCAATGCATCATGTAGTGACAGAAAAGTTCGTGTTTTTAGACAGAAAAGCTCTTAAAAAAAACTCCTCCAGTATGTGCAATACTTCATTCAAAAGAAAAACTTTTAATGAATTTCTTTTAAATACTGAAAAATGGCTGAACTGGTTTCATTTGAACTTCCTAATCTAATCGAAAAAGGCACATTGCATTGAACAACTGGACTAGGATAACTTCAACACTGTTTTTAGGATATAACTATTACATGAGTCATTAAAGTCAATGGTATTGAATTTCAACTGACTTCTATTAACCTATACTGTCAAGGTGTCACAGCTGGAATGAACACACTTGGAGTTTGTCTTCAGTCATTCTTCTCCCTGAGCAGTATCGATTGGACTTTGCTTTATATAAAAAGTAACGTCTTTTAAGTGCCTTGTGACATTTTTGGTAAATGTCTTCTGTCCTTTGATATCTGTTGACGTTTCATAGCAGTTAAATTCTTGGCTAACCTGATTGCCTTCTGTTACAAGTGATGAGTCGCTTTTTGCATATGCAAAGATACCATTTCAAAATTTCAGTATTATACGATGAGTAAGTAAGACAGGCTTACAATTGTTAAATCGGATGAACTGCATCTTAATCTGCTGTTTTATCTAACTCTCCTGATAATCCTTAAGACTACCAAATAGTAATAACTATGACATCTGAAATAACAACAACATAAAGTTTAGATGTTTTCTATTACACCATTTATAGAACTAAGCATATCTACTATTTGCTAATTACTGAGAATTTACTCATAGTAAGGAAACAGAAGTATGCACACGAAGCATCCACTGTAAATACAGTTCCATGGCCATGGGTGTCTTCATTGAGTTACTCGACTTCATTGAGGAAATCTGCCGAGTAGTTTTTAAATTAGGAATTGTGTTCTCAGTGATCTCTCTAAATGATGTTGGTTCATTGAAATTAATCCAAAACACTATAATCTAAATATTAATCTCTAGCTCATTTACGACTACCGGATTGATGTCTTGAAGCTATAGTGAGAAGTTGTGACCAGTGGGATCCACTATGTCAAGGTGAAATGGATGCCCGTCGAAGACATCAGTTAAGGTTACGAATTGACAGGAGTTAGATTTCAAAGGTGACTGAATTTTGGCCCTATTGGTTGACTGGTCAACCAGCTTGGTCTATTAACCCGAAGGTTTAGGTTAAATCCCTGGTAGGATAATTGGCGTATACTCCTGAAGAGTCACAAGCTGAGACGAAACAGATGTCCAATGCTTCCTAATTTTCAATAATCTCTCTAACCGATGTTGCTTCGAAACAAAGTCTAAAAGGTGAAATTAATTAGAATCCTCACAAATCCTATAATATAAACATTGTGTTAAGTAGGTGACCTAAATAATCTGTCTGTCTGTCTGGATTCAACATAGAACTCGGCACTGAAGTGCAGCAGTTCGAGTTGCCACGTTCCACATAGCACACAAAGGTAGACAGGAAAATGAGTGAAGAGAATCAATGGAGTTTTGACAAGTATGAGAGTGAAACAGAATGAGTAATAGTTGAAAGGAATATGAAAGATTACAGAGACTGGATACATCTGCGTAAGCCATTGACAACGATTTTGAGCCATGTCACCTATTGTCTCCACCCATTGATTCTTAGAGTCCCGAGGGCGGGCCCCAACCCGGAAGTCTTCATCTCCCTACCTGACTCAGTTTAACTGTCAAGGATTTCATGGATTGATTGATGCGATGTTTTTGTTTGGCCACCGCTTGCTCTTTTCCAACCTGCACCTAAATCAGCTAGTAATGCCCGTCGAGGTGGGGGAGGCGATGGTTAGGCATGCGCAGCACGTGACCTAGCCATCTCAATCTATGTAACTTTATAGCCTCTTCGATTGAATTTCCCTCTTTGCCCAACACTCTACGCCTAACGTCAACATTACTTACCTTATTATGCCACCTAAGTAATAGACAAGCTTGTAAAGTTGCTTAGACTAAGGTGCAGTGCATGCCAAATCACTACATTCATCGATGATTAGTACTATCTGAAGTAGGCTTAAGCTGGAAAACAGTTAGGGTATTGGATAATTTAAAATGCAGTTTCACGCTTCACTCTTTAGAAATAAGTTAAACCTACTGACTCAGAAGCTTTTCTCTTTCCTCTCTTAGCACGCCTAACTCTTGTTGTGTAGCTTTTTGAATACGGTATTTAAATTCAGTTAAATTCTTCTGTTGCTTTTCTTGTACTCGCTTCAGCGCTTCCAGATGAGTTCTACTTAATTCACTGGTATGTTTTTCATGATGTATAATTTCTAATCGACGACGACCATGACATTCAGATAACTTTTCATGCAGTTGGAAGGCAATTTCTAAAACACCATGAGTAAACTTATCCAATGTCATTGGTTTAATTTGACTTGTTTCGATTGATGAAGGTTCCGCCAAATCGGTTTGTACACATTTTTCATCCATTGTCTTGTCATTTTTCTTGCAGTCTTCTAGTAAATTCTGAAATGAATCAAAATTGTGTAATAGTTCATGAAACAATGGAAGAAAAGGTTCAAAATTTAATGAGAATAGAATTGTTATCGAATAAGAAGCAAGTGTGAACAGCTTGTTACATTGGCCGCACAAATCGCATATCCTCCAAAAGCATTTCCTAACATAATCTGAAATGGTTTACAACAGGACAATGTAAGACAATTACCGGTTAACTTGTCGATCACCTGGGGAACTCAGGCCACGCACCCCCACTAGAATCGTCTTTTAAAATTATCTACAAGATGAGAGTGAACGGTGCTAGTGGTTCTAGATTTCAGTATCTGTGCATGACAGAGACGCTGTCTACATTATTCATTGGCATAATATCATGAAACTGCTTCATCTTCATTGTCGTCTTATATGCAGAAATTTATTACTGTTTATTACCATTATTATTATTATTATTGTTCCCTTGGGTTCCTAGTGGAACATTGGGCTTCAACTGCACGCCTCCACTTGTTTCTGTCTTCTGCTGTACTTTTCACCTGCATCCAGGTTAGTCCATACTATTTCAACTCCTCTTCACACGATCTCCTCCATGTCACCCTCGCACTGACGTCCCACTCGCCGCTTCCCTTTCGGGTTCCACTCGAACTATGGCCTGACGCGCGATGTTACCCAGCGAATGGCCTCCTCAGCCAGTGAGTGTCCAATCCATCTTCACTTTCTCCTGCATATTTGTTGAGCGATTGGTTCTTGTTTTGTTTGTTCCAATAGTTTCTTGTTGGTGATTCTTTCCGACCATCTGGTCTTGAGTATAGAAGGAAGACAGCTGTTGATAAAGGTCTGCAACAGGCTGTTGGAAATATTCTTTGTGACCCACCGCTAAGTTTCTGATCCATCCGTGTAGAAGAACTGACTGACTTGACGTTTGTATTGAAAATCCGAATTTTGTTGTTGATGCTGGCTGGGTTGAGTGACGAAGATTTCCAGATTGGTTTTAGGTTGATGAATGTGTTTCTCGTCTTCCCGATTCTCGATTTGACATCCTCATCCGTTCCTCCTGCAGTTGAGACAATGCGCCCTAGATAGGTGAATGAAGTAACCTCTTTCAAATCCCTCTCGTTGATGGTGATTGGAACTGGTTGTTGCTGCTGCTGTTGTTGTTGTTGGTTGGTTATTTTCATAACCTCGGGCCTTGTCTATGTTCACCTGGAGTCCTGTCTTCTCCAGCTGCTTCTTCGACCATTTTGTCGGTTTTTGCTTGTTAGTCTTATTACTTTTTACACGCCACTATTACAAAATGTCTGTAAGGAAGGAAGGAAAGGTACCCACCGACTGAAACAAAAGCTACTTTATCATATTACCAAGGAAGGGCGACTTAGATCTTTGTATGAACTAGAGCGTAATTGTGCTGTTTTCCACGTCAAGTAAAATGCTAAGTCGCGTCATCCTGGAAAGAATAAAAGATACACTGAAAGCGAAACTCCACCCACCAGAGCTAGCTGGATTCAGGAAAAGCAAATCATGTGCGGATCAAATTCAGACTCATTCTTTGATTTACTTGTGTTATGTGGGCTGGATGGTTTAGTTGTGAAGATTTCATAGCCTCACCTCAGTGCATAATTCAATCCCGATTCAAATTCTAACTCTATACATCTCATCGAACATAGCATAGAATGGTAGTCAAATCTCTATCACAGCTTCATCGACTTTGAAAAAGCCTTCGGTAGACAGCATTAACCTCACTGTAATTTGGAAATAACTTTAATACTATGGAGTGCCCCAAGGTTTTATCAACCTCATTCAACAACTATATGACAGTGTCCCATATCAAGTGATCCACAGTGGAAAACTCAGTAAAGCCTTTGAAGTGCATACAGAAGGAAGACAAAACTGCCTACTATTACTGATGATCTTTCTGATTCTCGTGGATTGGATCATGCATAAAACCGTGGGGAGCGTGAAAACAAGAATACGTCAGATCGACAAGAAGAATGTAAAAGATCTGATGTTTTTGGATGATTTATATTTAGTTTCACAAAAACTGCACGACCTACAGGTGAAAACAAACACGTTGTCAGAAGGGGAATGCAGAGAAGGCGGGACTTCAAGTAGACATAGCGAAGACAGAGGTGTTGGAGACACCCACCTACCAACAACAAAACCAACAAGCATCAATCATTGTCAACGAGAGGAAACTGAAGGAAGACATTTCTTTCAGTTATCTAGGGAGCATCGGTTCAACTACAGGCGGCATGGATGAGAATGTCAAAGCTAACTCAGGATCCAAAAGGTAGGACACACCTTCAATTATCTGAAATCACTGTGAACATCTGTTGCACCAGTCACAAACAACAACTTTTGGATAGTCAGCAGTAATGTCAAGTCAGTCTTTGCTTCTATATAGTTCAAGGGTTTTGCACACGCGCCATCAAACGCACTTTGAACAAAATCTAGACTTTAATCAGCAGCTTCCGGCTCCCCAAGAATGATTAACAGCAGAGAACCAATCAAAAATCTATTGCCCGGTAAGCAAGGCGAAAGAGATCTAAATGGGTCGGAAATACGCTGAGGAGACTTTTGAATGACACTGGGTGCCAGACACAACCTCGGGTGGAAGGAGAACAGGAAATATAGAGTAGGATGTGAACCCGAGGGTGACATGGAGGAGGTCGTGTGAGAAGGAGATGAGATCCTATGGACAACTGTGGAGCCAGCTAAAGTGGACTGCAGGGAACAGGATGAGACCGAAATATGTTGTTGAAGCCTTACGTTCCACTCGGAACGTAAGGGAATAATAATAATATACCTGCTTACATAAATTCCCTAGGAAGTTCAGCTGCTGATAGCTGTAATGAGGCATTCAACAACAGGATATCTCTTCACTAACAATACCATAGTAGGTAAACTTTTTTAATGTAACACACTGTGTTAATATTCCAAGCTAAATTTATTACTCATCATACAAATAAGGTGGTCAGTCACACTCATTCGCTTAGCTGAGGGATTCTTTGTTTAACCGCTGATTAAATTTTCGATACACCTAAAATTCATGTTACGTCACTTTTGTTGTACACAACAGATTTTGATTAGATGGTAAAAATTTGTCACTTTTTTTCTCCACCCAACTACATCACTTCTCAGTAACGATACTTCTGTGGCAAGGCGAAAATTGTTGGCAAGCAATTTAGGTCAATGTTACGTCTCGAATCGGGGTCGAGAGAAAAAACAGTAACAAAGCTTAACCTTGAGGAACTCACCAGCCAGTTACAGCAGACTAAACGTGTGCAAATACGATTCGCAGATATATGGCTTAACTTTCTGAAAAACGGTCACAAGCAGTACAGAATAACCTTCAGCAAGGGAATAACCAATCAGAAGACGTTGCTCCTCTGCTAACAAAATGCTAATAATAATGCATATAAAAATCTATAAATATCTCTTGATTTTCTCAATAGATGATCTTTTGCCTGGTCCTTGTCTTCTGTTATTACAATACGACAATAATATAAGGTAACTAAAGGCATAAGATTCTCGAGGATTACAGGTTTATAACTACAGTTGCCTCCTGCTATCATGTAATCATTAAGAAGCAGATAAAAAGGTTTAAACCACATCAATTATAGTAAAATGGGAAACACAGCTAACAAATACCATGAATATTAAAAATGGATAAACTTCAGATAAGAGAATGAACACAATCGTTAAAACATCATTACTCAACTTTTTGTTTGTCTAATTCTTGTAATAACACATTGAAATTTGACTTGTAAGCGTGTGCTTTCTATAAAATGTTATCAATAGTATCATTGTAAATTTAGAGGTGATGTATGCATTAACTTGCCTTTTTAAGGGATAACATTTTCTTCGCTTGTTTCTCATTGATTAATTTTATTGTTTCAAAGTCCTGTTAATCATGAAATAGATTAAGTTACTGAAATTAAATCGATTACTTTATACCTCCTGAGTTAATTTAATTTCATTAGGTTTTACATTGTCTGAAAAAAGGAAAGATAACTAAAATAAACTAAATGAATTTCTGAAGAAGTCTACATTTAACGGTAAAGCAAAATGTAATTATAAAGTTAAGGGGTTCTTAGAGAAGAAGTTGATCTATGATTAGTGGTTTACATGACTAAGTAACATCAGCTAGAGAATAAGGTGGGATCCCAAAGGTAACGGTCACCCTTTCGCCCATAGTTAAAGATTCTTTATCAATGCACCAGGAGATGAAGTCCAGGACTATCATACTTCTCAGTGAGTATGTCTTCGCTCAGTCTTAAACAACAGCTGAATTGAAACATGTTCTCTACAAAACCCGCTAACTGTAGTCTATGTCTCTTTGTAAGTACCAGATTTACACTGTCAAAATGTCTTAGCATGGTGGACTGCTTAAATCACTGGACTACCGAAATTTCTATCCATCAAAATTACTGACTGACTGGTTTCCACAAAGAACTTTGCACAGATGTGCAGCAGCTCTAGGTGGCACTCTCCCTCCACGTAGCACACAAAGCAAGAGAATAAAGTAAAAAGAAAAGCAAAATAGAAACAGTAAACAGATATATGAGGCAAAAAGAATAGTAATTACGAAGAACAATATAGTTTGATTGAGTATTATAAGTCACAAGGAGTGGATGCATCTGAGCCATAGAGGACGATTTCGAGACATGTCACCAGTTGTCTCCAGCCATTGGTGTTTGCTGTCCCGAGGACCCCAACCAGTCAATAAGTCTACAACTCCATACCTGGTTGGCTGGCTTAAAGTAACTGTTGTGGATTTGATTGATTGGTGAAGCCATTAACTGACTGTTTTCCAACCTGACCCATCCTATGTCAGCTGACATTGCCCGTCGAGGAAGGCGATGGCTAGAAATGCATGTGTAACACATGTCCTAACCATCTCAGTAGATGTAACTTCACAGCCTCGTCGATTGATTTCCCCTCTTTACCTAGGACTCGACGCCTAACCTCAATATTGTTCACCATATTATACCATTTCACACGGGATATAGAACACAGGCACATGTGATCAAAGACAGATAGCCTTTTCATGTCTTCTACTCCCAGTGGCCTGGTCTCGCGGCCATAAAGGAGGACAGAGCGGACTGATGAGCAGTACACACGCCCTTTGGTCGATAGCCAGCCGGATATCACGTCTACACCAGAGACGGCGTAAATTGGCATATGCGAACCTAGCCTTCTGTATCCGTGCTGAGACTTCCTCAGCGATCAACCCACTGGCGTTGGCTGATGCAACTTCCCAAATAAGTGATGTAGTGATCAACACGCTCTACCACTTCACTCCCTATCTCTAAGCTAGGAGATAAAATGTCTAAACTCTTCTGCATTTTTCATTGTTTTAATCATTTAGTGATATCAAATGGCCACTGCATGAACTCGCTGTATTACTTAATTATCTTCAAACTAAACTCTGTTCAATTCCCCAACGAAATGAAAAGAAAACTCAAAAAATTTTGTTCTGTTTTCATATGTAAGAACGCTATGTCACATAACATACTGTAGATTAATTTTCAATAGTTGGTTTGTAAGGATTAGATTTGTTCTTACGAGTTTGCTCACGGACTGATATCAGTCAGAGAACCATTGAAAATCAGGGAGTACTGGTGTGGTGAGTACTTCTTATATCGGATTATAAGTAGTACACTGGTACTAAGATGAAACAGCTACTGATGCTCGCTAGTGATTGGCTACAGAAGGAAGTTACCTGGAGTTTTAGTGAGAAATCGTGGTCAGTGGGGTCCATGCAGTCGGGGGTGAGGGTGGGGTTTCCACCGGTGACATTAGTGGGTGGTCGCATTAAAGTCACGAATTGGTAGACGTTAGAATTCAGCTGTCATTTAATTGGATCCTAGTGGCTGAATGGTATACGAGCTTGCCTTGTAGTAGGAAGGTCTTGATTTCGAACCCTAATGGGTGCCTGCTGCCAATGATTCCCAAACTAGGATGAAACCACTGGCTGTCCAGTACTCCCTGGTTTTCAGTGGTTCTATAACTGATATCAATACATGATCAACTCATAAAATACTCTAAATTATTACTTTACATGTAAATTCTATGTGAAGAGGAAATATTTTGGAATTAAACAGGCTGAAAATTTCTCTGCTGTGTGTTCACATATTGTCTAAAATAAAGTCTTATTATTATGATAATAGGACGAAATGATGGAACATTACTAGTCACCTCTCAATAATTCTCCAGTTGATATGATCTAGAAATTAAGCCAACTACCCGTAATACTTGGCTAATATCAATTCGCCTGCTTTCTAAGTACACGTCAAACGAGATAAGTGGAATCGATAAAAACAGGAGGTAGTGTCAAAAGTGAGTTTAAATCATGAGACATTTACCTATCACTGTAGCAAGGTATCAATATCTACAATGCTATCCTGGCGCTTTCCTATATGAACTACAAGATCCTACCATTTCTTGAACCATTCAAGGTATTCTGACCATCAATATCAAGATCTGTTTGTTGACATCTACTGTATGGAACCCTACTAAAAATAACTGATGGGTATTCAAAAATGTTTTTTATGCTGAATAACTCCAATTCACGTTTCTCGATTAGTTCTAACCTGATTTTTAACACAATACTCTAAAAATAACTCTGATGATTACAGAAGTGAGACTACATTTAATTCACTGAAGTGGTTTAGGAATTATGACATAAGTAATATATATATATATATAGACATTTGCAGTCTCCTAACAAAATTATCACCAAAGATGGACAAGCACTGTTTATCAGCAGGCTTTTAAAGACACTAGAAACAGAATAAAACACGTGCACTCTGTTCACAAAATAAACGTGTTAGTCTAGGAGTGAAAACCGGATATTATTATTATTTTGATTCCCTTGGGTTCTTAGTGGAACACACCTCTATTTATTCCTGTTCTCTGTAGACCTCTTTAACTGGCTTCACGATTACCTATAAGTCAGTCTTACACCCGACCTTCCTCCTTTCCTGCACTTACTACTGGTTAGTGAACTGTGAGAGATTTTGGAGGAACCGTAGTTACTAGAGATGGTGACCACTCTACCACTGAACCATTGACGCATTGTCAACCGTCCACCGATGACTATTTGTCTGATAATCAAGTGGTTTGTAAGAAAGTAAATCAGGTACCTGATATTCTCTAAAATGTTATTAATGTGACTTCCTAAAATTTGAGAATTAAAACCTGTGGTAGTGAACGCTACTTCTAGTAATCAGTTCACCTTCCAGTTACTCAAAGACACTTGCCTATTCATTCTCATTTTACTAGTGTGTTCACACTACTTGAGAAGTCAGATCAAAGCTTCACTATCTTGTATTTCCATAACACCATTTATTTGGGACAAAGAAACATAGATGGCACTGAAATAGAAACCAAGTCGAAAATTAAATATCTTGGCGTCATTCTATCTGCTGATCTTTCCTGGTCGTCTCATATCTTGATGATTTCTAACAAAATATTCCGTCTTACCTTCTACATCAAGAAGTGAAAACATTCTGGTATAACCCAACCCTTACTCCTACAATTCGTTAATTCTCGCATTCTGCCTATTATTCTCTATTGTTCACCCTTAGTTTTTCCAGGACTACTGAAGAAAGACTATAACATATTACGCAGGATGTTAAAGGTTGTCAACAGGGTAAACAACGTGCCACTTACCCAACTTGTTAATATTCTGGTTGACAGGCAGGCACTTGGAGTCATGTGAAAAATGGGCTAAATTCATTCTATCTAACTCACACCACCCTCTTCATTCACAACTCTCCCCTTGCATCTCATCAGGCAAAACCAGAAGCCTATATAGAAAACTATATGCTCGCACCAGCAAGTACAAAAACTCAACCATGCCCTACTTAGCTCGTGTTCTGTGTGATAAAGAAAGCATTAGGCATGACACCTATAATTCATTAAATAGTCAGTAGAACAACTGGATCTCGTCTTTCCAACTCATATCATTTATAGATACAATGTTTTCTTTCTTTTCCTTTTCTCTCTACCTCTTTTTTTCTTTTTGTTGTGTACTGTTTTGTTTCTCTCTTCCTTACAAACTCTACTCAAAACATTCTTCTTTGTTCTTTCACACTCTGTATATTTCGACCTTTTTGTTACCGCTTACACCAGTAAATATGCTAGTATCTACTTTTCTAACACATTCAAACATTCTGTTCACTTTTGGCTTTGCTACCGATATGCTAATATGTTGTTGTCAAAACTAACTGAGATTACCCATAATCTATGTAGAATTTTATTTTTACTGTTAATGTACAAACTGGATGCAATACTGTAGTGAAATGTTGAGAATTCCATTCTGTATCACAAGTACTGTTTTCGAATAGAGCAAATTATTATTATTATTGTTATTACTGTTGTATACAAGATTTATGGATAAATCTTACTAAAAGACGCATACATTGTAAACTTATTATCATTTACAGGAAAACTACTCTACTATAGTGCTTAAATTAAAATTATGACAAGTGTTTCAAGAATAATAGCCCATATATGAAAAACCTTTATGAATTTAACTTCGCATGTGATAAAAAGGCAATCTGAGTTAATTTTTTCTTGCTCTACCTTTTCAGGAGGTCTAAAATTGATGAAAATCTCGTGTTAATGATTTAGCAATGAACAGACAGCAAGAATAGAATATAAAACCACTGAATGAAGTTATTTTACTTAACCAGTGAGTAGGTAAATTTATCTGAACAATGACAATACTAACCTTCTAATGTTAGTGAAGTAAACAGAAAAAAACAAGAATTTTTACTGTCCGGTATTCGGTTGGTAGTGAACAAAATGTGCCTATCAAGGAAGCATTTAAAGTTAATTTTTAAATCTGCTCTAACTCCGAAATGGTCTGAAACACCGCCTACTACATAAAAATGAAGGTCAGGTTAGAAGTAGGTGTCGATCTAAGAATTTTGAAAAGTGTATAGAAATGGAAACTGTGTAATCGATTCAAAGAATCATCAGAGGAAGATTTTGGCATTTATAGTCATTTTACTCACAAGTCTTTTGGTAACAACTCAGTTTACAGGATGCATTTTATGCTCATTGAAACGCTTAGGATAGATGTACGTTTAAGTGACAGCATTCCCGTGATACATTCCGAATTATAAACCCTCCCGAACCACAACCGTACAATTATTGTAGTCATATATATTTTAATTGTGTGAGTCAAACGTCATTTTAAAAAGCAATGAACACAGCTTGTACATTTTAATTTGGTTGACAAGAGTCATACTACTTAATTGTAGTGAGTATAACATGTATTAAACAAAAATATTTTACAAGGAACTGATGAAATTGCGAATCCAAATCATAGGCATTAACCATCTTGATAGCACTCAAGAATATCACTCTGCAGAAGAAGGCAAACTACAGATTTACCTCTTAATACATTTTACAAAATTAAACACCTGTTAACTAATTTGTATTACAATATTGTTATCATTGTTCTCTTGAGTTCCGAGTGGAACATACAGATTCAACAACACATCCCCATTTTCTTCTATTTTCTGCCGTCCCCTTCATCTCTCATCTCCTCCAACACGTACGATCACCTTCATGTCACCGTTAGGTGCCTCACTTGTCGTTTCTCATTAGAATTCCACTTGAGCAATGACCTGGCGCGCTATTTTGCTTGACGGTCTCCTAAGTGTGTGACCAATCCACTTTTAGCTGCCCTTATAAATTTGTTGGACGATAGGTGCTTGCTTAGTTTGTTCCAATAGTTTCTTGTTGCTAATTCTTTCTGGTCAACTGTACTTCAATATAGCGCAAAGGCAGCTGTCGATAAAAGTCTGCAACATGCTGAAAATGCTATTCCTAACGCCCTCACCAAGTTTTCGACCCATATAGAAGAACTGACTTCCTATCTTTGTTGAAAATCCGAATCTTGTTGTTTATGCTGAATGTAGTAGATTTTCATACTAATTCCACAGTGATGAAAGTCTATCCCGACTTTCGGATCCTGGATGGTTCTGACATTCTCATTCGTGCCGTCCGTAGTCCAAGTAATATTATCTAGATAAGCGAACGAAGTGACTTCCTTCAATTTCCTATTGTTGACATTGATTGGTGCTTGCTGGTGCTGTTATTGGTGGGTGGGTGTGTCCATCACCTCCGCCATCACTATGTTCATTTGAAGTCCTGTCTTCTCTGACTTCCTCTTTTGAAAACTTACTGGTTTTCGCTTGCAAGTCTTCGAGTTTTTTTGACACAGAGCATAAATCGTCCACGTGTGGAATCTAGATCTTCTACAGTCTTCTTGTCACTCTAATGTATCCCTGTCTCCTCACTCCATAAGCACTGTCTGACGCATAATCCAGTCCACCACAATTAGGAATATCATCGTGGGTGATGACAGGCACCCAGCCTTATCTTATTCCTGTGTGAACTTCGAACGCCTGGTTGCATTTTTATATAACAAGCTGTTGAATGATGTTGATAAGGATTTGGGGCATCCCACTGCACGGTGTTGATGTAGTATCCAAATTACTATGAGGTCAACACTGTCTGTCGAAGTTCTTCTCAAAGTCGATGAACCTGCGGTAAAGATTTGATTGCCATTATATGCTCTGTTTGCTGGTGATGCATATGGTTAGAATTTGATCTGGGATTGAATTATGCGCTGAGGTCTTTACCTTGTAAGGCTATGAAAGCTTCGCAACTAAACCATCCAGCCCAGAGAAGATAACTAGATCAAAGAATGAGTTTTAATCTGATTCGCACATGATTCGCCTTTACTGAATCCAGCATGTTCCTTTGGGCGGAGTTTTGCTTCCAGTGCATCTTTTATTCTCTGCAAGATGACTCCACTTAATTTTTTGCCTGTCGTGGACAAGATCATGATTCCGCACCAGTTCTTGCTGAGGCCTTATTCGGCCTTCTTTGGTAGCATGACTAGGTAGCCAGCCTTTCTTCCAATCGGTAGACACCTTCCTTTCTGTCCAAACCTTTTGTAATAATGGCGTCAGCAAATCTGCTGCAGTCTCTGGGTCCGTTTTCAGAACTTCAGGGGGAATTGCTTCTGGTCGTGCTGCCTTCCAGGCCGGCGCTCAGTAGCTTGATCATATTCTGGAATTCTGCTTTCCTTGGAGGATTGGTGTCCACTGGCAGGCAGTTCCGTACGTGCTGCTGGTAGTGGTGATGGTATTTCTGGACGAGTTGCAGCTGATGGTCGATTCAAGAGTCCTTTGAAGTGATCAGCTCATTGTTTTTTTGTTTCTCCTCCTCGATAATCAGGTTCCCTTAAACATCTTTTATTGGTTTCCTCATCTGGGTTGATCTCTTTCCGGATAGAGACCTGGTTATCTAATATAACGTTCTGAGGTCTCTTCTACCTGCAGCCTGCGTATTCGCCTGGCAGTGCGTCGTAGAATTTTCTTTTGTCCTTCACAGCACTTTCCTCACTCCTTTCTTTAATCAGTGCAGTGTACACCGAACTCAGCTCCACCTTCTGTTGCCCAACTTTGCGTTGAGTCATCTTCTCTCTCACCATCCACCTCTCCTCTCTTCTATTAGCTTCCAGGTATCCACTGAGAGCCATTCCTTGTCTCGTCTCTTCATTCTTCCTAGGGCAGTTGTACACGTTTCCTTGAACATCACCTTCAGAGAGTTCCAATGTTCTTCTATCAAGGCTTCCTCAGTGATACCACGTAGTGTCTCCGACTTTGCTCTGATCTCATCTGTAGCGAATGTATCCCTTTTAATTTTGTTTTACAGTTTCTGAATGTTGAACATGAATTACACTGGTCTGTCTCCAGTTGTTTTCAGGGATTTCAGCTTCATTTTGAAGGTTCCTTGAACTAGATGATGGTCTGAACCCATATCTGCTCTCCTTCTCGACTTCGTATCCAGAAGGCAGGCTGCGTCTCTCCTTCCTTGAGCAGCACTAAAACGAAGTCTACCTGGTTCCTGATGTATCTGTCAGGTGAAATCCATACTGTTTTGTGTATAACCTTGTGCTTGTACACGCTGCCTCCAGTTACTAGATCATTGAAGGCGCAGAACTCTGGGGAGAGTTCTCCGTTCTCATTTCATTCACTTACAGAGAGCCTCTCGACCCATGATGAGTCCTCTTCCTGTATTGTCTGTTCTTAGTTTTGTTGGCATCCATACCGCCCATGAGGGCTTTGATGTCGCCATTCGGGATGTTGTCAATTACTGTTTGCGGTTGTCCGTAAAAATCTTACTCATTCTCTTATTCCGCTTTTTTCGTAGGTGCATAGCATCGGACAGTTGTTATCTATCTTCCTTTTGAGTTGAATCTTGCTGTCATGATCCTGGATTAAACTGGTTCCCACTGCATTAGAACTTTGGCTGCCGCTGGCGACATCGTTATAGCCACTCTTTCAGTGTGTACCTGGTTGTCATCTGGATAGCATGAGTAGATTACTGACTCTTCCGTTGACAATTTAGATGATCCACATCCGTTCTATCTGCCTTCACAGATTCAGAGCATTTCTATTCCATATCATCTCATTTCTTTGGTTACCTGGTCAACCTTCCATGCTTCGTACATTGTGCAACATTCCACGTACCCATTCTTATTCTTACTTTCATCGAAAGAAGACACGTCATTTGAATGACTGGCTTCCCGAAGGCTTTCACCAACCCGCTGTGTCATTTCACCTCTCTGATTTCAGCGATGAATAAATTTGCTTTTTATATTTTTTTGTGTTTGTAATATATTTCTTGTGCGTTGAAGTTTCTGTAACAGTTTGATTGGTTTTGTGGTGTACGGTCGCCAGCCCCACACCCAACTCTCCCTCTTTTCCTGGGCTTGAGACCGACTAGATAACCAGCTATCTAAGTAAACTAGGCGAGGTTTTGTATCACAGTAGGCAATCGAAAACTATCCCTTAGGTGTAAGAGGATTGCCCGGTAGTTTCGACTGTCTGTCTGTTTTCGACATAGAACTTTGCACATATGTGCGGTTGTTCAAGTCGCCACACTCCCTCCTTGTAGCACACAAAGCAAGAGAAGAAAGTAGGAGAAATGCATAATAATATAGACAGCAAACAGAGGTGTGAGACAAAGGCATAGTAATAACGAAGAACAAAACAGTTTCATTGGAAATCATAAGTCACAAGGAGTGGATGCTTCTGCGCCAGCCATTGAGAACGATTTTGAGCCATATCACCAATTGTCTCCAGCCATTGGTGTTTACCATCTCGAGGACCTCAACCAGGAAGTCTACACCTTCCAACGTGGCTTAGATTTACTGTTGTAGATTTCATTGACTGGTGTCATGTTTTCGTTTGACCGCCACTAGCTCTTTTCCAGCCTGGCCCTATATCAGCTAACATTGCTCATTGTCGAGGAAGGCGATGACCAGGCCTACGTAACACATGTCCTAACCATCTCAATCGATGTAATTTCACAGCCTCGTCTATTGATTTACCCTGCCTCCTTCCCTAGCACTCGACGCCTAACCTCAGTATTGCTCACCTTATTATGTCACTTCACAAGGGAGATAGACTGGAAAATTTACACGGAAAAGCAGGCCCAACCAACTATCACCATGGATTAACGACTGTTTTTCTGTTGGTGTAGAAACATAGCTACATTCATATATATATATATACATCTTAAAAATATCTTTTTTCATTCCTTTTAAGTTTACCAAAATCAATAATCCACAAAGATATACCTTCATTGTCTGGTTTAGTCCCTCTGGCATGAATTAATCCATAAAGGTCTTCACGTACTAATTCTAGTTCATTTTGAAGTTTTACAGCATGATTATCATAACGCGAAAATACAGCCTGAGAGAAAACAAAAGAAAATATTCACATTAATATATCAAACAATTAGCAAACCAAACTGATTCCAATAAAATTGTGGTGGAATAATTGATTAGAAAATGCCTCCTGAATGATCTATTTACAATATGAGCACTCATTTAGGTGTTTCAGCTACCCTTGTAGTTATTATCCTTTTTCCCTTAGGCTGTATATAATTGTCGCAAGGCTTGCACATCACCTGTTGACGTATTATTATTATTATTTCCTTTAATTACTAGAGGAACATAGGGCTTCAGCCGTGTGTCTCCATTGCGTTCGTTTCCCTGCTAGAGTCTTCACCTGGCTCCAAGTCTGACCACACGTTTTCATCTCCTCTTCACATCACCTCCTCCAAATCACCCTTGCACTGACGACCAACTCGCCTCTTCCCTTTCGGGTTCCACTCGAGCAATGGCTTGTCTAGTGATATCACTTGATGCATTGTTTCCTCAGAGTATGGCCAGGCAATCCATCTCCATTTCTTCCTGCCTATTTGTTTCACAATTGGTTCCATTTGGGTTGTTTTGCTCCCAGAGATCCCTGTTGCTGATCTTTTCTGGCCGGCCATCTGATCTTGAGTATTGAGCGAAGACAGCTGTTGATGAAGGTGTGTAGTTTGTTCAAAGTGCCCTTCGTGACTCGATATCAAGTCTCTGATCCGTATATTAGCACGGACTTCACATTGGAGTTGAAAATCCGGATCTTATCTTCGTTTTCATGCTGAGTGCTGTTGACCTCCACACAGACTTGAGAGTAGTGAAAGCTTGTCTTGCTTTTCCGATTCTTGCTTTCATATCCTCGCCAGTTCCGTCTGTCTGTAGTTGAAACGATGCTTCCCAGGTAGGTAAAGGAGGTTGTTTTTTTCAGGTTTCTCCCATTTATGCTGGTCGTTGTCTGTTGTTGTTGTTCTTGTCCAGGAATCTTCATCACCTCTGTTTTCTCTATGCTCACCTGAAGTCCTATCTTCTTCGGATGCTTCCTCTGCCAACTTGTTGCTTTTCGCTTGATATCTTCCAGTTTGTGGGAAATCAGACCTGTTGACGTAATCTTCATTATTTGTCTTTGTTCTTGTTTAACCTCTAATTTTAGTGTTTCTTTTTTTGGTCGTGTGACAGTGTTGATAATGTGTTGTTTTACGACTACGATTTTGTTTGAGTCAAGTCAAGATTATTTCGTGGGAGTTTAACTCTGGACTGTTAGTGGGAAGTGTTTAGTGCGTGATTCTTGCTGACAGAGTTTTGATCCGACGTTATTGGGATTATTTTACTTGGTCCTCCTTAGGTACCTTTTTAGGTTGATTGTTGGTTAACTAGTTTTTTTTATGCAGTACTCAGTTTGAAGAGATGAGAAATTCTTGGAGTGTATAGCTGCCTAACGGCAGCATCATCATTAGCAATAGCTTCTTCAAGATGTCTTAATGTAACCGATTGAGGAAATGTTCACAATAAAATGACAAAGTTTGATTAACTTATTTATTATTCATCTGTAGACTGAATCGCCCGCTAACCTCAAAAGCAAATTGGCGGATAAAATTAATCTGTGATATTGTAAACTTTGAAATGACATCCTTAATAACGACACTATACTTTCTCTTTATTTTATTAGATTCAGTCCCTTGATAAAACATCTTGGTAAGTATTCTTGAATCAATAGTATGCAGTAATTTCATTTTCTCAATTGCAGCTGGTTAACAGTTGATATCACCTAGTGGATTGTTCGCAGAAAACTAAATACTGAACCAACATAGGATATAGAGCTACTGCATTTTGCCAGGAGAGTAGCATTAAATGGAAGGGATAGAAATAGAATGAAGTAATATATAATCCTAAATAATAGAAAGCAGTAACAGTGAAGACAAAGCATAAATACATATAATGCGCTGTAATCTATTCCGAGATATATCACTAACAGACTTTAAGCCCGGGGTTCTGATGTTCTTATGAACCCACACCAGGAAAGCTTTACTTTCCCCGCATAGTTTGGTGAGTTATTTTGCTCTAACTTCCCCTTACCTTCTTCTAATATGATTTTACTTCCCTTAAAATCCCAATTACAGACATGAACAGTGGCTATTTAAGCAACCCAACTGAACAGTCCAACCTATAAAACTCAATGGCTAAACCTCACACTCCCCAGGTAGTGCTCCCACTTAAAACCTGTAATACTCTGAAGACCACTGTAGTCAAATACATGTAGTCACTGTTAACCCTCCACCTTTCATAACCACATACATAGCCATAAATAGAACATGGAGCACTCCTGTTTAGCATATTCAATCCATGACGTCATGAGTGAAAACAAAGAGATTTTTCAGCATCCGTGCTCAGATCTTGTAGACCATTCAGCCTATCAAGACATACAACACCTCAAATATGCGGGATACTGGACACATTTACTCACTCCCTTTCCTTTAGTCAGATGGATGGTGATGCAGACCAACGCTGAAATAACGATGTAGATATAGAAGATGAAAAACACACCAGAAAGGTTTTTGAATTACAGGTTTTAAGTCCTGAGAAATTTTGCATCTTCTGACAGTCTTTATCGAACGGGACAAGGCTCTTTTCATATTCTATGTCAACAACAAAAATATCTTCACGAGAAAACTGATGAAATTAGATGTCGAAATAAAAAATCTTTTCAGCGATTTTATTCTTAAAAGCTATAAAGTCGTGTTTTTATACCAATGTGAAAATTCTTACGTCCTATTATATCCCTCAGTTACTATGCTAAATTAAATAATAATTGTAACCATGTAAACTTATGCATGAAAGTGTGATGGTACAGATTCCGATGATAAAATTGCCATAAATTTCTTTGCTCAGTTTCTTGGTTTTACTCTCCAATATCCCGATGGATAGTTGGTATTAGATGGTTGAAGGCATCGGCAGGAAGCCCTGCTACAACTAGGTTTCGTGCTAGTTGGCACTCAACAGTCAGCAAAGCGTATCTGCAGCCTCGAAGGAACTCATGTCCCTTCTGAGATTCGAAACCGCTTCACCAAGTGCTGCAATCAGAGACGTTACCACTGAGCTATTCACGGTCTGGATTGATCTCCCGTTGGACCGTATTGGATATTTTTGATTGGACACTAGTCAGTAACTAGTGTAATGTGTATGTCTAATCCTATCCTCGGTGCAGACTGAATTTTATCAGTCAAGCTTGCAATGTGGCCACCATGCCACTAGGTTGCTGGCCATCACGGTACACTGTGAATTGTTGGTATTAGATGGTTGGAGGCAATCGGCAAGAAGCTTTGGACCTAGGTTTCGTCCCGATGGATATTTCTAATGATTTGAAATGGAAATTTATCACGAAGGAACCTACTACAAAGTTTGGTTATAGTGGAGAGAGTTGACATCTTTACTACTCCAGAAATAATCAAAATTTATGCAGTGTATAAAGTTGTAAAGTATTGTTAGAGACAGATAAGACAACTGAACGCAGGTGAATAACGCAAACTGTATTATTATTTAAAATAAACGTTTATTAATTTCAACTTGTTTAGGTGGTCGGACATAACATAAAGAGATGAAACGATGAAGGATTTGCTAATACAAAAGACTGAGAAAGATCACCGTTCACTCTTGCAGATATAGGGATACAATATTTGAATATTAGAATAACTCAAGTCCTTATAATAATAATAATAATAATTTACTTTATTCCAAAAACAGTACTTGTGATACAGAATGGAATTTTCAGCATTAATCACAATATTGCATCTAATTTCCTCAAATTACAAATAAAATTACTCCCAAAGAAAATTTTTCTACATTTACAATACGGTTAATATAAAAATAAATAAATAAAAAATAAAAAAAAAACATGCAGCATATAAAATGGAAATAATAATAATGATAGCAGCTAAGGTAATGATAATAATAATAATACAAGTGAAAATTGCCGTGGGCTTTTTTCACACAGTATTGTCGATGCGGTATGCAAATCCTTGCATGATTAAAAATATTGAATCTGATGTTCTCTTTAGATGATATGGTGAGGGAAAAAACACAGATTACAGCAGTCATAGAGATAAGTTGGTGTTTGCAGTTATGAAAGTGAGAACAAGAATCAACATGACCATAAATATAATAGAAATAATAAAAGTAAAACTTGAAGGTATATAAGGATGGATGGAGAAGATTATTTATTTACTATATGAAAAAAGGTTAGTCAATTCTTGCCTGACGCTATTTTCATCACATAAAATACGTGCCAAGTATGGTATCATAGAATTTCGATACTTAGACGTGCGAGCATACAGTTTTCTGAAGTTACTTCTCGTTCTACCTGAGGAGATGCAAGGTGAAAGCTGAGGGTGAAGTGGATGCTCCAAGTCAGACAAAATCCCTTTGGCAAATATACTGCACGAAGTCAAATGCCTATCGACAACGGCGTTAACTATGTAGTCCACTGGGACACCACTCACTCTGCTGACAGTCTTCAGCATTCTATGAATTGTGACAAAGTCCCTTTTAAGCAAACCAGGAAAGAATAAGGGTGAACAATAAAGAAGAATAGGTAGGATGCAAGAGTTTATGAACTGTAAGAGGGGTTGAGTTATACCCCAGTGCCTTAACTTCTTAATGTAAAATGTCAGGCGAAATATTTTACTGGAGATCGCTGAGACATGGGAAGACCAGGAGAGATCAGAAGAGAGAATAAGTCCAAGATACTTAATTTCTGATTTAATTCCTATATCATTGTCATCAATCTTACAACTGTCATAAGAATCGACGGCTTCTTTTAACTGTCGTTTACACCTTAAGCTGAAATTAACAGTTTGACATTTAGAAGGATTCAGTTTAAGACCGTTAGACTCAGACCATTTACTGACTTCCGACAGAAAGCTATTTATTTTGGTACAATCTAGCTGGGAGTTAACAGCCATTGAAACAGTTAAATCATCAGCGTACTTCACAAAATTTATTTCATCGGACTGAGGCAAGTCATGTAAGAAGAAAGAAAAAAGAAAAGGA